CCATAGAACACACACTCTGCTTTTCTAACACCCTCTTTCTGGTCACAACACTCCTGAACTATTGAAAACATTTTCTATCTTTATTGCATTATTTCTAGTACCTTTCCATTCAGATCTCTGAACACAGATCCATAAGGCAGAAAAAAAAAATCTCTTATTCTGTGCACCCCTATTCCACCATGAAGTAGAGTGTCTGGCACATAATTTGAAGTCAGTCAATATTTCCCCAATTAAAAAATAATACCTTAAAACAGAAAAATGGCAAATGTTAGTGTGCCATTTAGAAGACAAAATATTTCAGTCTATGATCTCAATATTCTCATTCCATTCAACCTGAGTCCCAAATAGTCTTGGACTAAGAGAGTCTCAAATTTCACACTTTAAAGATATTTGTCTGTTTATGGACACATTTTCCACAAATTATCTTCCATGCCTTATAAATAATCAACCCTTTACTGGATATGTAAATTATGATGCACGTGCCTAATTGATGATATTCTTCCCTCTTTCAGAAAGCCTTCAAAGACAAGGAACATTATGAAACAATGAGTAGATTTTCAACAAACTGTAATTATTAGAATTCTCTTCCTCGGTTTGTAGTGTGTACCCATCTTAGACTACCCAGAGCATATTCAGTCATCAGATCAGACTTAGAATATTCCATTTGTGAAAGCTCCAACCCTTGAGAGAAATTGTAATTCTTCATCAGTAGGACACTTAATATTCTGGGCATAGCCTCAGTCCAGGGCTGATCTTGATGGAAGGACCATGTTCCTTAAAATTGGACATATTTCAGAGTCTCCAAACTCCAGGTACCTCACACTCAGACTTTGTGCATTGATCCTTGTCATGGAGATCAGTCAGTGAGTCACTTTTCACTGGTAGTTGAATTTGAATTTGAGTCTGAAATACATTTTCTATTGTAAGATCTGAATGTTAGAACTCTGGAATGGCACATGAGGGAAGGACACTCAAATCACACCCCAACAAATCAGTAGGTTCTCAAACTCAGAAAGAGTTGGGCTTTTCATCCTGTTCTTAAATCTGTGTCAAGTAAGGCACTAAATGATATCATTAAAGCACTAGTCCTTCCTCTTTTCAACTGAAAAGTATGGCAGCACTGATCATACCCAAAACTTAATGAATTTCTCTTCCCCCTTTTTACTTAATACTGTTCTTTCTAGTCATTCTAGCAACTTAGATCAGTTCATGTAACACAAAACATCAAAATAACTCCCTGAAATATCCAATATTTCACCTTCATTGTCTTCCCCAGGAAGCAGTTTTATTCCCCCCATGCCAATTATCTGTCTAAATTTATCTTCATTAACTCACAAAATATATATTAACACCTACTAGTTTGTAAACACTCTGATGGTAAGAAATTATTCTAAAATTTTGCTCCGGTTTCTTCAGTATGTAGGACAGTTCTCTTTCAAAAACGTTCAAAACTATTTGTCAATTAAGTGACTTAAATCAATTTCTTCAAACTCAATTTATGCCAAAAAATATATTAGCAAATCCATCCAATTCAGATGATATGATACCACATTTTTCTTCTAACTTATTCTTATTCTTATACTTCAGCTGAGGCAGCTTTCAATTTCTCATTAATACCAGAAATTCTCTCTTCTATCTTATTCGTTCTTTAAGTGCTCAGGCCTCAGCCACTTTCCCTTGGCATATGCCACAACCTCCCCAAAAGGTGACATCCCTCTTCATCTTTCCTTCCACGTCCATTCTACCTACAGTGTGAGTTCCAGGGCACAGTAGAGATATGAGAATTAGGTGATAAGACATTATATCCGATGCATGTAAGAAAAGAAATGCTTGTATTATATCAAGAAAGAGACCCAGGTACATGAGACATATTGTCAGCCCAATTTTCAAGAGATGTTGTAACACCTCAAGAAAGGAGTCATTCACAAGCAAGAACACAGATTTTTTAAAAGTAATTAAACATTTTTATTGAGAATAAGGAGTTTTCCAAATGTGAGATGTTAGGATCCCTGCCAAAGTCACAACACAGAATCCAGATTAAAGGGGTAAACGCCAACACTTTATGGAAAAGTATCAGATGATACCCCATAGCCTCAAGCCACATGATGCCATCCTACAAATGTTCACCTGAGGTCAAATATTCTATGAAGCATGCAATGTTTTAGATATAGAAATCTTGGTGTATAGATCCTTAGAAGAGCCCTCTCTTAAGGTGTGTCATTTCAGAAGCAAATTGGGCTTAGACAGTGATGTTCTAGCAGCAAGAAGAATAACATCTATAGCAAAATGGCCGGTAGCCACAGCAGCCATATCCGGTGCCAGAGCCACAGCCATATCCAGTGCCATAGCCACAGCAGGAACCGTATCCACAGCCATATCGGGAGCCATATCCACAGCCATATCCAGCACCATAGCCACAGCCATAGCCTGTTCCATAACCACAGCCATAGCCTGTTCCATAACCACAGCCATAGTAGGGGCCACAGCCACAGCCATAGCCATATCCGCAGCCATAGCCACAGGAGTTGCCGTAGTTGCAACACATGTTGTCAAGAGACGAGAATTCACGTGGAATGTGAGAGGATGTGGTGAACTGTGTGTCTTCTACTTGCCTTGGACCTTTATATACTGTCAGTAATTGACAGAGCATATCATTCATCCCCTGACTGACTTACCCGACAAATATGTAAGCAGCTCTGGTATGCCAATCACTGTCAACAACCAATAAATGTCTCATGAAAATGGGAATTCATTCTATTGGAGTCTCCAGTTTTATTTAAAGAATGGCATTTTAATTCACTTTGCCAAAAAAATTTCTCAGTAGTATCATGTACTCTAAGTAAACCTAAAATCCATGTTCACAATCTTAAATCATTTAATAAGATGGATGCAGGGATTTTAGGAAAGTTTTGTCCTTCTTGATCTCTCTACACTCCTAAAATGTATACCTCTGCCCATAAGGTAATAAATACTTCAGTTCCTTTCTGGAATCATTGCAACATCCTGCCTGGCCTCTGGCATCCAGAGACCTACTGCACATACCTACTGGCTCCATGTGGTAGAAGCTAAGAATGATGCCCATTTCAGGGCACAGAAAAGCCCTCAACAACATTGAAACACCTCATGTCAAATGTCAATAGTGCTGAGATCTAGAAACCTTGTTTTGTCACCTTGCATCTATAAATTAACCTCTCTCTTGACTTTTGTCTAAGTCCAAATATTCCCTCTCTTCTCAACTAAACTAAACATCCAACCTCTCCATCTCCAGACATACAGTGGGGGGGGGGGGGGGCCGTATTTATTATTTGTTTGTTTGTTTGTGATGTTTTTCTTATCTTCATTGTCTAGGTCACTATATTCAGATTCAGGCAGATCCCAAAATTTAAATTACTTTTCACTGTAACAGCTGTGAAATCCTAGCTGGAAAGAAGTACAAATTCAAGTATCATTTCTTCTACTCCACACTCAAATTTCAACACCAAGAAATGAGTATTATCTAGTCCTTTAATGAATGCCTTCCACAGGGATTTTAATAAAGCTGCTGATTTCTTTTTGTGAGTACTTTCATTATTAGAAATTTTTCCTTCAGTAGAGAATACTTCCTACTATTTTTTCTAATATTGGTCATAAGTTATTTGTTCATTCCGCTATGTTTCATCCCTAACAAAAAGCTTAAAACATATATATGGCCTTACAAATGTCCTTTACCTTTAATTTTTCTACTTTTCCATCATTCCTGAAATTCAAAACCATAAATTTTAATGCACAAGTTCCCTAGAATAAACATGATACTTTTTAAACACTCACTCTCTGGTCACAATACCCATAAACTATTGAAAAGCACTTCTTATCTTTATTGCATTATTTCTATACTCTTCCATTCAGATCTTAGGATAATGATGTGTAATGGCAGAAAAAAATCTCTTATTCTGTGCATCCTTGAATCATCCATAAGTTTTAAGCATGGTGCCTGGCAAATAACTCCAATTCCATCAATATTTCTGCCAATAACAAACAGACTCATTAAAACAAAAACATGCTCAAACTTTAGTGTCACTTAGAATCTATAAGAATGTGGATATATGTCATAATGTTCTCAATTCATTCAAGCTGAAAGTCCCAAGTGGTCATTGCTAAGAGAGTCACAAATTTCACCTTTTGAAGAGATGTGTTCGTCTTCAAAGTCATTTCTCCAGATATACAAATCACCTCTACTATAAATAGAACCCTCTACTATAAATAGAAATGATGATACACATGCCTAATTAATACTATTCTGCCCTCTTTTAGAGAGTCTTCAATGCAAAGGAACATAATGAAATCGTAAGTTAGATGCTCAACAAATTGTAATCATTGGAATTGACTTCCCTGTTTATAGAATTTTCTCACCTCTGATTTACCCAGAGCACAGTCAGTCCCCAGAAATGACTTACAGATGTTCCTTCTGTAAGAATTGTGGACTCTTGAAGGAACACCTCTTTCCTCATTGGTAAGACACATATCTTGGACATAGCCTCATTCCAGGGCTGACCTTGATGGCAAAGCCATGTTCCTTGGAAGTGGCCATGTTGTGGAGTCTTCCAGACTTCAGGAATCTCAGACTAGGACTCTTTGCAATGACCCTTGTCATGGAGACGAGACAGTGAGTCTTTTATTCTGCTAATTGAAATTGTGTCTGAAAAGACATTTTTTGTTGTAGGATCTAAATGTTAGAGGTCTGGAAAGGCATAGGAGAGAAAGACATGGACATCAGAATCCAACAAAGTAGTAAGCCCTCAAGCTCAGAAAGTCCATCTGGAACTATTAATCTCATTCTATCTCTGCCCGCCAACAAACAGAGCCCATTTAAGACACTAGCCATTGCTCTTTTGCACTAAAAATCATGACACCACTGATCATACCCAAAACTTAATGGATTTCTCACCCCCTTTACACTTACAACTGTCTTTTCTAGTATTTCTTGAAACTCACATCAGCTCATTTGACACAAATGTCAAAATACCTCCTTGAACAAACTCTCCAATACTTCAACTTACACTCTCTTCCCAAGGATGCTATTTTATTTCCTCCAAAGGAATTATCTCTCTAAATCTATCTGAATTAATTCTTATATTTTTATTATCACCTATTAGAATGTAAACACTCTGGTAGCAAGAAATTCACCTATAACTTTCCTACTATGTCTTCAGTGTGTAAATTCATTCCCTTTCAAAAACATTCAAAATTATTTGTCAATAAATTGACTTAAATCATTTTCTTCAAACTCAATATATGCCATCAAATATATTTGCACTTTCCTTATAATGCAGATGATTGATAACGCATTTTTATTTTACTTTGCTTTTCCTTAGTTCTTTGTATCTCAGCTGAGGCAGCTTTTAATTTCTCTTTAATCCCAGAAACTCTCTCTGCCATTCCATTCATCCTTGAAGCACTCAGGCCACACCTCCTCTCCCTTGGGCTTGTGTCACAACCTCCTGAAGATGTGTCCTAACTCCCCTTTACCCCTAAGACTCCGTTCTTCATACAGTGTGATTTCCAGGACAATGATTTCTTACATTGTGTGATTTGTGTTGTGGTGTTAGGGATACGAGAAATAGGTGGAGAAGGCATTATCTCTGATGCACATAAGAGAAGAAATGCATGTATTATGTCAAGAATAGCCCTCAGCTTCATGAAATATATTGTCAGTCCAATTTTCAAGAGAGGTCATAACACTTCAAAAAGAAGTAATTCACCAACAAGAACACAGAGAGGTGTGAGATGCAAAGAACCATTTTTATTGAGAATAAGGGATTTGCTAAATGCAGGATTTGCCACAGTCACATAACAGACTCCAGATTAGGGGAGTAAAGATTAACATTTGGAAAATAGTCAGATAGTACTTCACAGCCTCAAACCAGAAGATGTCATCCTACAAATGTTTACCTGAGGTCAAAACTTCTGTGAAGTATACAATTACTTGGAAATATAAATCTTGGGAACAGATCCTTGAATCAGCCATCTCTTAAGTCTTGTCATTTCAGAAGCAAGTGGGCTTAGACAGTGATGTTCTAGCAGCAAGAAGAATAACATCTTCTATAGCAAAATGGCCTGTAGCCACAGCAGCCAGAGCCATAGCCATAGCCACAGCCATATCCGGTGCCATAGCCACAACCATATCTGGTTCCATAGCCACAGCAGGAGCCGTATCCACAGCCATATCCAGTGCCACAGCCACAGCCGTAGCCTGTTCCACAACCACAGCCATAATAGGGACCACATCCACAGCCATAGCCATATCCGCAGCCATAGCCACAGGAGTTGCCGTAGTTGCAACACATGTTGTCAAGAGAGGAGAATTCACGTGGGTTGTGAGAGGATGTGGTGAACTGTGCGTCTTCTACTTGCCTTGGACCTTTATATACTGTCAGTAATTGACAGAGCATACCATTCACCCCCTGACTTACCCAACAAATATGTAAGCAGCTGTGTTGTGGCCATTACTGTCAACAATCAATAATGTCATGGGAAATGTGAGCACATTATTAGGGAGATTCCAGTTTTATTTAAAGAACAGCATTTTAATTCATTCTGTTAAAAACATGTTTCAGGAGAATCATGTGCTCTACGTAAAACTGAAATCATGTTTACAACATCCTGTCTTTTAATATACCTTGTATAAGAAACCTGATGGGAATTTAGGAAAGTTTTGTCCTTTATGATCTCTCCACACTCCTAAAACATCTACCTCTGCCCATAAGGAAAGAAATACTTCAGCTCATTTCTGGAATCATTGCAATATCTTGCCAGGCTTCTGACATCCAGAGACCTACTCTAGATACCTACTGGATCCTTGTGGGAGAAACGAAGGCAGATTCTAATCAAGCCACAAAACAAACCCCAACAACACTGAAACATCTGATATAAAATATCAGTACTGTTGAGATCTAGAAATCTTGGTTGATAACCTCATATCTATAGCTTATCTCTTTACTGGTGTGTAATTCCAAATATTTCCTTTCTTTTATTTTTTAAATTTTTAACTGCTTATTTTTCAGAGAGAGACAGAGCATGAGCAGGGGAGGAACAAAGAGAAATATGAAATCCAAAACAAGCTCCAGGCTCTGAGCTGTCAGCACAGAGACTGACACAGGGCTCTAACTCACAAGCTGTGAGATCATGACCTGAGCTGAAGTCTGGTGCTTAACCACCTGAGCCATCCAGGCTCCCCTCCTTTCCTTTCAAGTAAACCAAGTAGAGAATCATTCCATTACCAGACACAAAACCAAGGAAAAAAGAAAACAAAAACAAAAAACAAACAGGAAAGAGAGAAAGAAAAAAAGAAAGTAAGAAAAGAAAGGTGTCTCTCTTTTTTGCTTGTTTGGTTGTTTCCTGGGATATTTTTGTGTATACTGGTTGTCTAGGCTTTTCATTAGTCATAATTTTCTGAATTGGGCCGAATCCAAAATTTACATTACTTTTCACTGTAAAAACTATAAAATCCAAGCTGAAAGGGAGTACAAACTCAGGAAGTTCATACCTTCTACTCCACACTAAAATTCCACAGCAAAGAAATGGATGACCTCCAGTTCTTTACTGAATGCTTTCAACTGGGAGTTTCATAAAACTGCTAATTTCCTTTACTGTGATCTTTCATTAGTAGACATTTTTGCATCAGTTGAGAGTATTTCCTACTAATGTTTCTTATACTGGTCACTGGTCTATCTGATCACTCTGCTGTGATTCATCCCTTACAAGAAGCTTAAGGAAAATATACCGCATTACAATTGTCCTTTAGCTTAATTTCCCTACATTTCCACCATTCTTGACATCCACAATTATAAATTCTAATGCACAAGTTCCCTAGAACACACACTTTGCTTTTCAAACACCCTCTTTCTGGTCACAACACTCCTGAACTACTGGAAAAGTTTTCTGTCTTTATTGCATTATTTCTAGGTCCTTTCCATTCAGCTCTCTGAATACAGATCCAATATGGCAGAAAAAAAAACCCTCTTATTCTGTGCACCCCTATTCCACCATGAAGTAGAGTGCTTGGCACATAATTTGAAATTAATCAATATTTTCCAAATTAAAAATGCATTAAAACAAAAATGTGTTCAAACGTTGATGTGCATTTAGTAGTTATAAGGTACTTCAGTATATTATCACAATGTTCTTATTCCATTCAAGCTGAAAGTCATAAATGTTCTTTGACTAAGTGAGCCTCAAATTTCACATTTAGAGATAGTTTTTGGTTTACAAACACATTTTTCCTATTGTATAAATTATATTCCTAATAAATGATTAACCCTTTACTGGATCTGTAAATTATTATATACATGCCTAATTTGATTCTTCCTTCTTTCAAAAACCCTTCAAAGACAAGAACATAATGAGACAATGAGTTGATTTTTAATAAACTGTAATTATTAAGATTATTTTCTACTGTTTATAAGATGTACCCACCTCAGATTAACCCAGAGCACAGTCAGTCCTCTAAATGACTTACAAAAATCCTATCTATGAAAACTATCTAACCCTTAAAATAAGCCCTATTTCTTCAACTTTAGGACACATTATATCCTGGGCATAACCTCCCTCCAGGGCTGACCTTAATGGCAGAACCATCTTCCTTGGAAATGGCCGTGTTTTAGAGTCTCCCAGCTCCAAGTTCCTCAGACCCAACCTCTGTGCAGTGACCCTTGTCATGGAGATGAGAGAGTGAGTCATTTTTTTCTGTTGGTGGAAATTGAATCTAAAAAGATATTTTCTGATGCAGGGACAAATGTTAGAGATTTGGAAAGTCACACAGGGATAGAACACTGAAGTCAGAACCCAACAAAGTAGTAAGCCCTCAAACTCAGAAAATCAACTGGGACTTTTAATCTCATTCTTACATCTGCACCAAACAAAGGGAGCTCATTTAAAGCACTAGTCATTGCTCTTTTCAACTAAAAATTGTGGCACCACTGATCATACCCAAAACTTAATGAATTTCTCATTCTCCTTCATACTTACCACTGTCCTTTCTAGTATTTTCTTCAACGGGCATCAGTTCATTGGTCACAAAATGTCAAAATACCTCCTTGAACAGACTCTCCAATACTTCATCCTGCACTCTCTTCTCAAAGGTGCTGGTTTATTCTCTCTATAGGAATTATTTCTCTAAATTTACCTGAATTAAGTCTTTTTTTTTTTTTTTTTTTACACTTACTAGAATGGATACACTCTGACGGCAGGAAACCTGGCTATAATTTTGCTCCCATATCTTCAGTGTGTGGGACATTTACCTTTCGCAAACATTCTAAACTATTTGTGAGTTAAGTGACCTAAATAAATTTCCTCAGACTCAATATATGCCAACAAATGTATTCGCGCTTCCACAAAAATGCAGATGGTACAATACCGCCTCTTTATTCTAGCTTATCCTTTCCTTAGCTCATTAAACACCTGAGTCCACTTGTAAGTTTCATTAATCCTGAAAACCCTCTCTTTCATTCCATTCATCCTTTAAGTACTCAGGCCACACCTCCTCTCCCTTGAGCTTGTGTCACAACCTCCTGAAGAGGTGACATCCCTTCTTGTCATTCCCTTCCATCTCCATTCTAGATACACTGTGATATCCAGGTGACAGTTCTGAAATACTATGTGATTTGTGTTGGGGTTTGAGGACCTGAGCATGAGGAATATGAGAAACAGGCAAAGAAGACATTTCCTCTGATTGATGTATGAGAAGAAATGCTTGTATTATATCAAGGAAGAGCCCTCATGTTCATGAAACATACTGTAGCCCAACTTTCAAGAGAATACAAAACATCTCAAAAAAGGAGTAATTCACAAGCAAGAACACAGAGATGTCTTAGAAGCAAAGAACCATTTTATTGAGAATAAAGGATTTGCCCAACTGTGGGGTGTTAGGATTGTTGCCACAGTCACAACACAGAATCGAGATTAAGGAAGTGAAGACCAACATATGAAAAAGAGTAAGATCATACTACACAGCCAAAAGATGCCATCCTACAATAGTTAACTGGAGGTCAAAGCCTCTGTGAAGCACGCAATTTCTTGGATATAGACCTTGGGGTATGGGATCCTTGAATCGGCCCTCTCTTAGGTCCTGTCATTTCAGAAGCATATGGGGTTTGGTCAGTGATGTTCTAGCAGCAAGAAGAATAACATCTTCTATAGCAAAATGGCCGGTAGCCACAGCAGCCAGAGCCATAGCCATAGCCACAGCCATATCCAGTGCCATAGCCACAGCCATATCCAGTGCCATAGCCACAGCCATATCTGGTGCCATAGCCACAGCAGGAGCCGTATCCACAGCCACATCCACAGCCATATCGGGAGCCATATCCACAGCCATAGCCAGTTCCATAGCCACAGCCATAGCCATATCCACAGCCATAGCCACAGGAGTTGCCGTAGTTGCAACACATGTTGTCAAGAGAGGAGATTCACGTGGGTTGTGAGAAGATGTGGTGAACTGTGTGTCTTCTACTTGCCTTGGACCTTTATATACTGTCAGTGACTGGCAAAACATACCATTCACCCCCTGACATACCCAACAAATATGTAAGCAGCTGTGGTGTGGCAGGCTCTGTCAACAATCAATAATGGCTTGGGATAAATGAACTCATTATTTTTGGACACTCTTGTTTTATTTAAAGAACAGCATTTTAATTCACCCTGCCAAAGAATTGTCTCTCTACAATCATGTGCTCTATATAAAACTTATACTCATCTTCACAATCTCCTATCCTATAATATATACAGCAACGCAGAGGGGAATAGAAAAATTCTGCCCCTCTTTTTTTTTTAAGTTTATTCACTTATTTTTGAGAAAGAATGAGAGAGCAAGAGAAAGCAGAGAGAAGGAGAGAAAGAACTGATGTAGCCTCCGCACTGTGATCACAGAGCTCAAAGCAGGGCTAGAACTCACAAACCTTGAGATCATGACCTGAGCCCAAGTCAGACACTTAGGCAACTGAGCCACCCAGGCGCACCTGCTCCTCCTGATCTCTTCTCTTTCTTAAAATATCTACCTTTGCCCATAGGGGGAAAAAAACAACTCCAATCTCCTTTCTGGATCCATTGCTACTTTTTGCCAGGATTTTCCCACCCACCCTGTACTTCCAATTCCCCACCCCTTTGCTCAGTTTTCCTCAAATCCCAAGAAGTATTTCAACATCTGATAATTCATTCACTTTCACTGGGACACTGACTACTAATAAATTTGGGGACCTGTGCTATATATAAGTGTATCTTCTATATTTTCTTCTTCCATATACCAGGCAAAGTGAGGTCCGGGAAAGTAGGGCAATCCTCCTTTTCTCTCATTTTCTGTGGCTAATATAAGTGTCATGCGCTTTATTTGGAAGAGAAAACAAATGCCTCAATTAAACCAAAAACTAAACTTTTTTTTCCAATGCAGATCTTATCAGAGTTTCACATCATGAGATATCAGTGCATTCCTTGAATATAATAAATATATCTTTCTTGTTTGAAAAAGTCTCCTACCACTATTCTTCATTGCACATTTAGTTCAGAAGCTGAAGTAAGAGTGAATGACTTTAAGATACGTACAGCTGTCGGAGGCCAGGTCCGACAGGTCCAGGAGTCCCTGAAGGATGGACGGTGTCGGCAAGAGAGAGAGTGAGAGAGCCCCGAGATTCTTTCTGATCACCAGGCAGGCATCTCTGTGCTGTCGGTTTTGGTGTCTTTATTTAAAGGTTCAGCAACAACATGAAGTCAAAGAAAGGAATTTCTACAATGGGAGGCCTTTTGAGATAACAATTGCAGAATTATCTCAGTCATAGTAAATTCACAACCAAGGAATTAACAGGATGCTCTTAGTGAAAAACAGGATAACATATAGGTTAAATTGTATATAGATAAGCTAGAAGTCATTCTGTCTGGCTCCCAAGAGGATGAATGTTTCTGAACTGGTTTGTTTGTGGAAACTATCATGGGGGCCCTAAATGTGTCAGTCATTGCACCTGGGTTTATGTTTTAGCTACTCTTATCGATCCTCATCCCAGCTGCCAGTGTAAGGGAGGGGGTCTGTGGAAAGCAGGCCTTGAGGAAGGGACCGCCATGCTTCACCAATTAGCAAAGATATATGTAGTAACTATGTTCTGCCCTTAACCCCAAAATAGGCTCTTTGTCTCAGGACCAGGCTCAATTGTAACTCTTGTGTTCTTAACCCCCTTTATTATCTAAGTCTTGGGTCTGCAAGGCCCATAGGAAGAGCCTTTTGACAGTCACCCATAGAGCTTTCATCTAAAATCTCTTTTGTAAAGGCAGGAATATGCTTTTCCTTATGAGGTATCTGTGTTCAGAATATGGGTCTGATATGGAATACGGTGAGGTCTGGTCAATACCAGCAGGCTCATTTCCAACATGAGCCAGTAGTAGCAGAAGGAGATACCAGTTTTCGTTTCTCATGGCAGGAGCTGTGCAAACACTGCCATTTCCTTGCTGTGATTGCCATCCAGAGAGGCCGGTGCGGCTCCCAGCATACAGCAAAAGTCCCTTCTCAGTTCCTGACCCCTTCAGGACATAAAGTAGAACATAAATCAACTTTAACCCTTATTTGTATGTACATTTTACTCTACTTATTCAAAGTTCCCAAGATTATTCTCTTAAAAGAAGGTCTCAATCTTTGACAAAAATGCTCATTGTAATTTCAAAATATAGTATGTCCCCTTTCTTCCAAGTTATTCTTTCTATCTTACTTACCTTTTCAACATAGAAAAGAGGAAAGTATCATTTCTAATGCCAGTAGTTCTTGCTACCCTTAGTTCTCAGTTCATAAAACTTTCCTCCACACTCAGGTCTCCAATCACTTCCTACATGATGCTTTTCCTTGCTGCTACTGTCTGGATTGAATGATCTCCCTTTTGCTCCAATATGCAGACATATGTCACAGCACTTGCCAACGTTTCTTGAAACTCCTTTTTTTTTTTTTTTTTTTTTTACTAATTACAACATGATACTCTTGAGGAAGCACTGTCCCTTCAATGTGAGAAATTTTGGGCAGAGCTAGTGTTTGGTCCACATTTTATATAAGATAAATTTAAGGATCAGTGGAAGTTAAATTATAGACCCAAACTGAAGCCACTCTGAGAGAAAGAAATGTAGCAAGGTGTTTTGATGCCACACTGAGTAGTCTTTCTATAGAAGATCAAAATCTAACCAGGATTGGGGCACCTAAATGGCTCAGTCAGTTAAGTGTCTGATTCTTGATTTTGGCTCAGGTGATGATCTCATGGTTCATGAGGTGGAGCCTTGCGTCAGGCTTTGGTCTGACAGCTTGGGATTCTCTCTCTCTTCTCTCTCTACCCGTCCCCTACGCATGCTCTCTCTCTCTCTCTTTCTCTCTTTTTCTCTCAAAATAAATAAATAAACATATTTTAGTGACCAGGATACAGAAAATAGCACTTGCTTGTTTATTTTTAGACTTCAAATATCTACCAGATTCCAGAAATGTCTAATATGTATGACTTCTTTCTCTAATTTTTTTAATTGATATTTATAGCCTCAGCTGAATCACTGTAATTTTTCAAGGAGATACCTATAATTAGCACTTGGATCATATATATATGTGTATATATATGTGTGTGTATATATATGCATAGATATGCACATATGCATATATATATATCTGTATATAACCTCAATACCATTCATACGTCACCTCAATAACAAAATTCCATGTGCAACACAACTCTGCACTCCACAGCAAAATATCCTTCTGATATCCTAAAAGTGACTTGGATAAGCAAAGAATTCATCAGGAAAATATATCTTTCAATGAACCTCAACTCAGCATTCCTATCACCAAAAAATTACAAAATTTATCCACATCCATAAGACGGTATAGACTAATGTTGAACATTGTTTTTCAGAATTCCTCAGACTCTTTTTTTTTTTTTTCCTCCCCAGCCCTTCCTCAGACCCGTTATCATGTATGATTTTCCATACAATGATCCAGTTGGGTTATGTTAGTGGCAAGTGATCAGAAAGACACTTGCTCCAATTTCTTGATATTTCAGAAAAGATTTAGAACTCGGTCGAAAATGACATGCTCTGCAGAACTCAGCATCATGCCTTGTCCTGGTTTCTTCCATGGGGTAGTCCACTGTCAATGACACTTTTCATGAGGGTGTGTACTGCTGGAATCAAGCAAATGAAAAAATACCTATTCTATTGCTTCCTTTTGCACTTGCATTTAATCACCATCTCAGAAGGACTCCCATTGAAGCTCCATAAACTTCCATTTAAAAGAATATAAACTCTCAGTTCACCTTGTTGGTTCAGTTGGTTAAGCATCTGACTTCAGCTCAGGTCTTAATATCATGGTTTGGTTTGTAAGTCGGAGCCCTACTTCGGACTCTGTGCTGACAGTGTGGAGCCTGCTTGGCATTCTCGATCTCATCTCTCTCTGCCCATCTCCCGCTCATGCTTTATCTCTCTCTCCCTCAAAATGAATAAAGTAAATAAACTTCTAAAATATATATATGTAAACTCTAAAGACAACTGGTTCCTGAAGGAAACTTAGGAAGACCACACACCCTGCCAGCAGGGTGTGGAGGGTTAAAGAAATAATATCAGGACCCCCAGTGCTTTGGTTCCTACAATACAAAGTCCCTCCCAGCTTTTTAGTCCCAGAAACCCTGTAACCCTAAAAGTCTAACACTGTATTTAATCCAAAGAACAAGACTACACATCTATTTACCTGCATCCCCTCTTCCAAGGAAAATATACTAAATTTTCACTCGACCTACCCAGAATCCCATTATTTTTGTAATTGAGTTTTTCTCAACTCTGCACATAGTTCTACAATGATAATAGTTTGGAAATGATAACATATTTGTGTTGACTGCTTTGTTTGCTAGGCATTCCTTCAGCAACTTAGCTGAATTCCACAGGCACTAAGTAAGCACATGCCACAGCCAAAGTGTGGTCGTGGGAACTGGGAATTTGCAAAGATGGTCACACGTTCTTGTCCCAGGATTAAGCATCTGCGCTCATAAAGAGACTCCTCAAAAGAAGATCCAGTGGTTCTCTCTGGGCCACCCTCCATTTCAACTGCCTCTACTGTCGTGCTCATCTGCTTTCCACACAAGAGAAACAGAAACTATGAACCTATGAGCACGTCCGTATAGTTGTCAACCTGTGAGTGACTTGGCCTCGTGGACTCTTGGAGACAACTGACACTATCTAGACACATTGTCAACTGTCAAGCCTTGAGTGTGGTCGGATGCTACTGGCGTATAGTGGTAGAAACCGGAGACGTTACAAATTCTTCAGGGCACAGAACAGCCCCCAATAACAATGAAATATCTAATCCAAGATACCAATAGTGCTGAGATCTAAAAACTCTGGTTTATAGTTATGCATCTACACATGAGCTTCTATACCTGTAAGTGTATAA